GTGGAGGAGGCGGTGGCGGCGGCAGTGAGGTCTCTCCTCCCCGCCGGCCCGCCCGCCCTACCTACCTCCCCGGCCAGCCTGCCGGCTCCGGGGAGGAGGCGGCGGCAGCGAGGCCTCTGTCTTCCCCCCCGCCCGCCGGCTCTGGGGAGGAGGAGGCGGAGGCGGCAGCGAGGCCTCTCGCCTGCCCGCCAGCCGGCCAGCTCTGGGGAGGCGGCGGCGGCAGCAAGGCCTGTCTTCCCCACCTGCACGCACGCACGCCGGCTCCGAGGAGGCGGAGGAGGCAGCAGCGTTCGCAGAGCGTCTCCTGCGCACGTGCAGGAGACGCTCTTGCACTTTCGGGGGGATTTAAACTTCCCCCCGAAATTTTTTTTAACTTTTTTCTTTCTGTGCACACGTGGGGACTGGCCCACGTGTGCACAAACCTCCCCCGGCCCCCCAGGTGCCCCCGAAGTGCAGATTTAGATATCCGCACTCCGGGGGCAACTTCAGCATTAGGGTAAGGATAACAACAGCGTATATGAATGTTATTCTTAATCACTAGTATTACTTTGAACATAGTCGGTTATGCTAAATTATTTATCTTTTTATTCATCAATTTATCTGTTTAAGAAAACCCCAGAGCATCCCATAGTTAGTACAGAATTTTCAGGCATAATTCAGAGTCTTTCAGCCTTATCTTTTCTAATCCTCAATTTGTATGGACTTTTGGGGGCGGCCGCCCCCTTTTCAGAAAGAGAGTCCTCATCGGAAGACATCAAGTCCAGTTCGCCATCAGATTTACTGTCATCTTCTTCCCTCTTGTCCCCAGCTGGCTCCCCCAGCTGCACTCTCAGGAACTCACGTGCTTTGAAAACAGAGTCAATCTTTTCTTTTTTGTCGTGGAGTTTGAAAATGATGCTTTCTGGAATTAACCATCTGTAACTGATGCCATTTGTTTGTAGAAAAAGGATTAAATCTTTGTATTTCTTTCTTTTGTCTTATTTCAAATGGGATATCTTTTAGAATCCTGATCGAATTGTCCCCAATTTTCAAGGGTGTTCCAGTAGTTGCTTTTAGGATAGAATCCCTCACATGCCTCTTCAAGAATCTGACTACTATTTCCCCAGGCAGATTCTTCTTCTTGATGTATATGGAGTAGGACCTAAAGACTACATCCATTTTGCTAAGAATGTATTCCGCTTTCAGATCTGTAACTGGGGCTAATGCTTCACTCAGCAGTTGCTTCAGATACTCTCCTTTTAATTCTGGGACCCTGTGAAACTGAAGAACCAGATTTGCTTTTTCCATTTGTAGCTGTAAAAGTAGTGATTCTTCCGCAGCTTGTTTCATTTCCAGCTTTTGCAACTTTTTCATAACTTTTTTGGTTTTGGCATCCATTTTCTTCACCTTCTCAGCTATTTGCTCCGTTATTTTTAAAGACTCAGTCAATTGGAGCTGCTGAGATGCCAGATTCTGAGTTATTGTTGTTAACTGTTGCTTGATGTTAGTCATCTCATCCAGCAGAGGGCGCAAGGAGTCTGTCAACATTTTAGAGAACTCGGACTTCCGGTTTATGGCGACACGCAGGCAGACACATCTCCCGGTTGCTCCGGGGATGCAAACAGCACACCAGTGTGTGGGAGGGGGTCCGACGGGTCGCGAGCCCCCTGGAGCCTTGGTAAAAGGCTCCTAGCCAGGGGGCCTTTGAGGGGTGACCTCTTTGATGGCGAGAAGCCAGAGAATTGAGGTGCTCCTCCGCCCCAAAGGTCCTGCCACTGAGTGACTGAATGGTACTAGTGCTGCTGACCGGAACAAGCGTTGGAGATAGGGCAAAATAACCGATGACGAGTGAGGCCGGCTGGCCAACAACGAACTGTGAGTCGGGTTGAAGCAAGTACGAAGATTTAAAAACTGCCCCCCCCAAAGAGCGCCGGGAAAGCGAGCGGGGGAGGGGATCCTCCCAAACGTGCAGACAAAACATGGGGAAAAGAGGGGGGGAGCAGAAAAACAAGCAGTTAAATCTGTTTTAAGAGACTTACCAGAGCACAGATAAGCGTTTGGGCAAGTATCAGAGACTTTAGCAACTTTTTGAAAAAGTAAACAAATCCAAAAAGATGGCGGGAAAGAAACAGGAGAAAGAAAAGTTGTTGAAAGTGAAACCAGAGAGTAGTCCTCGGCCAGAAGAGACTTCCGACCTTTCTAAACTGTTGGCTGATTCCTTGCGCCCTCTGCTGGATGAGATGACAAGTATCAAGCAGCAACTGTCAACAATTGGGCAGAGTTTGGGATCCCAGCAAATGCAATTGACCCAATCATTAAAAGCAACAGAGCAAATGGGAGAGAAGGTGAAGGAAATGGACGCCAGCACTAAAAAAGTTAAGTAAAAGGTGAAGAAGCTGGAAATGAAGCAAGCCACGGAAGAAACACAACTTTTACAGCTGCAAATGGAGAAAGCAAATTTGGTCCTGCGATTCCAGGGGGTCCCGGAAATTAATGGAGAATTTGAAGCAATGGTTGAGTGAAGCACTAGCCCCAATGACAGATTTAACAGCAGAATATCTCTACAGCGAGATGGATGTGATCTATAGGTCATATTCATCATATATCAAGAAAAATAATCTGCCTGGGGAAATAGTAGTCAAATTCTCTAAGAGACATGTAAGAGGCTTGATTTTGAAAGCAACTACAGGAACATCCTTGAAAATCGGGGACAACAACATCAGGATTCTAAAAGACATTCCATTTGACATAAGACAGAAGAGGAAGAACTACAAAGAATTAATCCTTTTCTTACAAAAAACGGCATCAGTTACAGATGGTTAATTCATGAAGGCGTCATTTTCAAGTTTCACGATAAAAAAGATTGACTCTGTTTTTAAAGCGTGGGACTTTTTGCGAACACAGCTTGGGGAACCAGAGGAGGGATAAAAGGAAGAAGAAGAAAGCAAATCTGATGGCGAGTTAGGCTCGGGGTCTTCGGACAAGGACTCACCCTCTGAAAAGGGGGCAGCTGCCCCAAAAAGTTCATATAAATTGAGGATTAGAAAAGATAAGAATAAATAAGGGCTGAAGGACTCTGACTTGTGCCTGAAAATACTTTGAAACAACTTTGGGATGCTCTGGGGTTTTCTTTAAACAGTTAAAGGGATGGATAAACGTTAATTAACTTAGCATAACCGACTAAGTTCATTGTATTATTAGCTTTTTAAAATAACATTATGATAAGCTGGTGTATTGATCTCCTACTCTTGGGTTTTTAGTTAGTAGTGGGTTCTTGTTTCTGTTTCCCTAGATGTAGTCCCCTTTTCTATATTTTCTATTATAGTTTGTAGTCTGCAAAAACACCAATAAAAAATTTCCCCTTAGGGGGATTAAAAAAAATTTGTTTTTAGAGAACTCAGTGGCCTCTTCCAATTGAGGGCTCCCTACTGGTTTCACTTTTACAAGTTTGTCTTTCTCTGCTTTCTTCTCTGCCACCTTTATGGATTGTTTACTTTTGTAAAAGTTGCCAAAGTCTCTGAAATTCGCCCATACGCTTATCCATGCTCTGGTAAGTCTCTCAAAGCAGATTTAAACGCTTTTCCTTCCGCCCCCCCCCATATCGTGTTTTCATTCATGCGCCTGGGAGGGGCCCCTCCCCCGCTTGCTTTTTGTCGCTCCGTTGGGGGGTAGCTTTCTTTTTAAAGTCTCCTATTCACTTAAGCCCAACTCACAGTTCATTGTTGGCCATTTGGCCTTGCTCGAGATTCGTTTAAAACGCTTGATCTCCAACGCTTGTCCCGGTCAGCGGCTCTAAATCCATTCGGACACTCAGTGGCAGGACCTTCAGGGCGGAGGAGCGCCTCAATTCTCCGGCATTGCGCCGGCGAAGAGGTCGCCCCTCAAAAGCCCCATGGCTAGGAGCCTTTTGCCAAGGCTCGGGGGGGGTCACGACCCGTCACACCCCCTCCTACTCACTGGTGTGCAGATTACATCCCCGGGAGGTCCGGGAGATGCGTCTGCCTGCGTGTCACCATAAACCGGAAATTCCCCTCTGAGATCCTGAATGCTGTTGGCCACCAGAGCTCAGGCTCCAGAACACTGAAACAAGACTTACTTAGTCCTTGGTTCAAAAGGGGCTGTCTACCAGACGTACAAAATTCTGGAGCTGAGGGAGGAGTCTGGCCCCAGAGGCTGGGAGTAGTAGGTAGGGTTTGTGTGTGAATGTGGCAACAAGTAAAAGTTGTATGTGAATGTAAGGAGAGGGTAAAGCAGTGTGTATGTGTAAAACTATGTGGGACTACCATGAAAAAACTATAAGTGAGAAAAGTCTGTGAGTTGGGCTTAAGCGAATTGGAGACTTTAAAAAGAAAGCTCCCCCCCCCCACGGAGTGACAAAAAGCAAGCGGGGGAGGGGACCCTCCCAGGCGCATGAACGAAAACACTATATAGGGGGGGGGGTGGAAGGAAAAGCGTTTAAATCTGCTTTGAGAGACTTACCAGAGCGTGGATAAGCGTATGGGCGAATTTCAGAGACTCATACTTCTCTCACTCATACATGTGGGAAGTTTTTGTTTTTTTTAAAAAAGATACTACACATAAAATTACTCCTCCACAGATCTCTGCTACAAGCACATTCTGCTTACCTCTGGGCTTGTAACAAGGTACTGGCACGATACACTCTTCCTTGATGTGCAGTTTGAGTTGAGGATTGCAGCCCCCTGTGTGCTGCCCACGATGGTCGATACACAACACCACTCGGTAACGTAAACCTCGGCCACAGGTCACGGTGCACTATGGGAAACAATGCAGAAATAAAAACAAACAAACCCTAAGGTTGTCAATTTCTTAGAGAATGTTTAGTTGATTCATCATTTCCCTTTGGCTCATTAAGGGTTTAAAGCATCTCTCTGTACATTTCTGTACATCTAATCCACCTGTGAGACTACCCTATGGGATCTCAGCTGCCACTTTGGATTGTCTAGGCAAGGTAAAATGACTGCCAAGATTTTGCAAGGTAGTCTTGTGAGATTTCCACCATCATTTATTCCATTATGGCACTGAAGGAAGACAGGGAGTTAAAGGAGGAGTGGGGCAGGCAGGACAGGCAGGCAGATTGGGGGGAGGGAAAGTATGTTTGTGGGGAGCGGAGGCCGAGTGGTGAGAAGGGAACTGGAGCAAAAGGGAAGGCAAGACAGGGACCAGAGGCAAGAAGAGCCCCTGACTTGTATAAACAAACTCATGAATGATTTTCTTATTTATTTTAAAATGTTGCACTGTGCCTCATAGTACAAAATGGATTTCAAGGCAGCCTACAAAAAATTAACACGCATAATAAGAGTCAAAACAGCTATAGGAAACAATTAAGACCAACCCATTCCACATCTTTTATACCATTCCCTAGTAAGCTGCCCTTTCTGTTGGGAGCAACATACGAACTACTGGTATGTTGCTTTCAAATGCTGGGAGATTTAAAGTCAGGAAAAATGCTGGGTCCCCAGTCCCTTGTGGCTGTAATCTGAATGTGAACCCTTCCACAGCTGCTATTTAGCAGCAAAAAGGTGGGAAAGATTTTTTTTTTTTTAAGATTGAAATTCTTTTCCAACATACCTGTGACCACTCCAAAGCTACCCATTTTGGACAATCATACAGGTTGCAAGCCTGCATGACTTTGGGTTTGGGGGCGTACATGCATTTCCACTCTTCCACTTGTAGTATCTCTCCATGCATGGTCTCCTCCACACATACAAAGCTCCTCCTCTGAATTCCCCCTCCACAAGAAACTGAACATGCAGTCCAAGGGTTGTGTTCCCAGCTGGGCCAGGGGAGAAAAAACACAACATCAATATGCATGAGACTATCTACTTTTGAGATGCACACTGTTAAGAGAAAAATGGACCATATATTTATCAGCCATTGATAATAAAGTCAGACCAACCCACTGTTGACTCCTAGAGCTGCAATGCAGTTTTATGTGAAGATTAAACCCAAATCCCAATCTCTCACAAATCAATCCCTTTAAAAATCCTTATGAAGAGCAGAGCTATTCCAAGACAGTTTGGCCTGAGGCAAAAATTCCTTTGAATCCTAATGCAGCCCACAGACATCTCCTTTCGTGTCCCTGCTGATAAAATCATAGAACAGATCCACAGTCTCACAAATTCTGAAATCCAGATCGTTCCAGTCAGGTGTCTGTACCAACCTGAATCTGAATGTGTGACATCAAATTGTACCTGTTGCTTCTTCTAATGGGGACCTTCTTGAGGAGGACACAGACTTGGGTAGTTAATGGGCTGACTCAAACTCTTCTACCAAAAGGTCTTTACCGCCATGCTCAGATGCAGAGCCTCCTCCTGAGCAACCTGATTAGCCCAGTTTGGCCTGACCTCATCAGGACTTGGAGCTAAGCAGGGTTGGCCACAGTCAGTACATGGATGGGAACCCACCAAGCATGTCTGCGGTTGCTACAACGTGGAAGGCAATGGCAAACTACCTCTGCTCATCTCATGTGTGGAACACCCTGTGGAAGGGGTTGACATGAGTCAGTGGTTATTCCTTCTCCTCCCTCAAGCAAGGGTTTGCCATTTCACTTACTCCTGCTCCAAATGGTTCACCTACAGGTGCTGTGGTCACACAAATTGAGCATTAATTACAAATGCGACCCTTGTGGTCAACTACTCCAGGTTCTTACCAGCCTTCAGCACATCATGTGACAAAGGAATTCACTTTTATGGACAAATAGGAACAAGGACATCTTTTCAAAGCACAAAAAAACCCCACATGCTCTGCAATACTCTACAGCAACAAAAGGAAGAGTGGGAGAGAAGATTAAGGAATCAGAGACATGTGACCAGGAAGGACGAAATAGGAACCAACAGGGTCTCGTACTGAACATACTGAACAAAGTTTGAGTCCAGTGGCACATTTAAGACCAAAAGAAGTTTTATTCAAGGTATAAGCTTTCATGTGAACTCATTCTTTTTCAGACACATTGAAATGGAAGTTATCTTCCATTCTGTGATGTGACCTTGATGGTTGGGGGTGGGGGGGTTAAAGCCAGAAACAAATGTCACAGAAGGTAACCAGAGAAATGCAAAACCAGGTAGTTGACACACATCGACATTCAGAATCCAAGAAACACAGGAGCCCCAAGCTAAATTAGTATGAACACTGGCAGA